TCTCCCTTTATCCCACCACCACTACTCCAGTTGAGAGTAGATTGTAGCCTGCCAAAGGATTCCTTTCCTCATCCTGTTGAAGTCTTTTTTCATTGCCCCGTGTTAATAAGACTGTAGGAGAGCCGATTACTTAGAGATCAGTTTATATATATGTGCACCACACACCCCTATACGTACATTTATGTGGTCTCCAGAGGGTTCTTAAAGAACGAGTTTTAGATTAAGAAATATTTAGTTGACACATCCCTTCTCTAACTGCAGACTAGCTGATGTATTTTTAATCTGTTTGTTGTCCATCTTGTAATTAATTTGGTGGGTTCTACTTATTTTAATATAAATATAGGGTATGCAGCACGTTTAATAAAATCGGAACTCTTAATTGGCTAATGCCCACTCTAGGCTGCGAAGTCCTGTATCTCCTCGCCACTTACCTTTCCGCTGTCTCTGCCCGCCTCGGTGGGAACAGCGCACGGCTAAGCCTTTTTCCTGCTGCAGCTACAGTGTACTTGAGCCTGTCCCCTCAAGTGCGTGGAGGATTGCCCGAGAGGACCCTAACTTGGAGTCTGTTTCACAGCGTAGCTTTCGCACACTCACTCCGTCTTCCCGAGACTACTTCAGTAAGCCATGCTCTTACTTCTCTCTTCCCTGTTTTTATTTGGCATCTTGGGTAGAAACCTCCAAACCTAGCCTTGGAAGCCAGGTTCGGCCCGCGTTGCTCGTCAGTCTCGTCCACGCTGTGCGCAGGACTGCTGTCCTCGCTGCTTCGCCTCAGCCGGGTCCCATTCCCAGGCAGCCGGGGCCTGGGTTTGAACCTAGCAGGGACAGCCTTCCTTGAGCCTTTTCACTCAGCCCTCTCCCGTTCAGCAATCGACCAGAATACGGGGTTTTCATCTCTAGTGATTATGGCCCTCAAGAATATTAAATCGGAATTAACTGTCCATGGCTGTCCCGGTAGACATTTTGCTGTTCTCACCATTTCGAATGTAGTAGGAGGGGCAGGTTGTGATATTTAAGGAGAAGCATTTTGCACATACACGTATCGTACAACAGTGAGCCCTCCCTGACAGCCAGCTGTCCTGTCCCCCATCTCCGCTTCTTCCCGTCTGTGGCCCAGGCCCCACCGGCGCCTCCCTCTGCCCTGGTCTACTGACTGTGCCCCTGCGCGCCTTTCCTCCCTTCCCTTCACAGCCGATCAAGTGAACACTTGATTATTATTTCTTCCTTTCTGTGCTTTATCTTTTTTGTTTAGTTCTAATTAATAAAAATTAAAAGTTTCTAAATTTACATTTTTATAGGGTATTGTAAATAAAAAATTGTATACTTGAAAAAAAAAGTGTGCCTACATTTCTACTTGTTGCTTCCGAACACGCTTCTTGGTGTATTTCTCGATCTAGGTGGGCCGGCAAACCTCTTGCTGTTGGGAATTGGTAAGGATTTTACTACTTGATGTCTTTACCTTTTTTATTTTTTCGTGAGGGAGACAGGAAAAGACCTTAATGTTTACACGATAATATTCTTTTAAAAGTGGACCTTCAGTCTGTTTCCGCCCCCTTCCCCCCACCCTGCATTTTAACTGCAAAACAGAATGATAGATTTTAGTAGATACGCTACACTTCATCTTCTTCATCTCCAGGCATATGAGACTTTTTAAAGAAACTTCTTGTGGACCAGTTTCACCTAAAGCTGCCTTCATGGTTTGTGTTTCCTTAGTTCTCACATCTCTTCAAAGGAGACGGGGAAAAGTTAGTCACTTTTTATTGTAAATTCATGTTAATTGTTTCAAACTTGGGTATCATTGTTACTCTAAAGTGCTCAAGATGAAAGTCAGCTCTCCCTCCCTTTCTTCACCCTTGTGGGGTGTGCAGTTAACTCTTTTCCCCGCTGTGTCTTCTCATAAGTCTCACCAGACTTCCAGGATCAAGCGATTCCTTGCCGAAAAACAAAAGCAGAATCGCCCCTTCCCCAGTGGGTTCTCATGAAAACTGGTAATGGAATGAGGTACAGCTCCAAGAGGAGACACTGGCGAGGGACTGAGCCGGGTCTGTAAGGACTCACACGTGAGGTGACACACACACACACATGCTGTGTCAGGTCACTGGCATCGTCCTGTGTCAGGCTGAGGCCTCACCACCATCTGGACAGTTGGACATGTTTTATTGGGAAGGTGATTTTCTTCTTTGTTTATGCGTTTTACTAGTATGTTGGATTGATAATAAATAACGTGAGACCTTTTGTTTGAAAACTAAAATTCAAACAAGTAGAGAAAGGCAGGAAAAGAAAATTTAAAATGATGAAGAGGGAAATAATTTAACATTACTGGGTGCTCACTGACACAAAGCTCAGTTTTTCCTGATGAGTGGACAGTCTCCTTGAGGTGACACAGCTAGTGAGCAGCAGGGCAGGAGGCCCACTCGGGGGTGTTCTTACTGCTCTGAAGGAGTAAGACTGTCTTAAGGTGGAAGATTGATTCTCACACTTCCGTGAAAGAACATAGGTCTCATGAGAGCTCTGTTTCATTGGTGGGGGAACTGCCCCTGCAACCCCAGAAGACTAGATTCAGAGGGAGACCAGAGATCCCGTGGACCAGCACTGCAGGTGCGAGGGAACAGCGGCCCCGAGGGCAGGGACAGCTGGCTCGTGCCCCTCCCTAGATGACAGCCCCCACCACAGTTTGAGAAATATCAGCCCTAGTCCAGAAAATATAAGTAGTATGTTTCTTATGAGGAAAAGGCTGAGTTTAAGAAGTAAGTACTTTTACAATAACTACCAGCCAGTTTTTTGAGTCATAGTGCATACCAGATCATGCTGTTCTAAGTGCTTAAAACATCATTTTAAGACTCAGAGTAACCAGTGAGAGCAACATTAACCTCCCCGCCAACTGTATGTCAAAAATAATCAAATTAGGTGACGCACTAAAATCGCTTATAACAGTATGGCACAGTTGTAACCTGATGTCAGTGTGTGTAATCTCTGTGTAAGAAAAAGACGACCCTGATAAGTAACAAGTAAGAGACTTGTGAATAATAATTTTCACAAAAGAAAATGGAAATCAATGTTAAAATTGCACTAGTAACCAGAGAAATACATCTTTAACCTATCAAAGTAACAAAAACTTCTCAAGGAATTCTCTATAAAAGATTTGGAAGTGAGGTTTTGGGACCGCCTCACTCTGGTGGGGTAAGTGCGTACATTTCTGGAAAGTGCTTTGGCAAAGTAAAGAGCTTCGAAAGTGTTCATAGTCCTTGACTAGTTTGGCTTTAGAAATCTCCTAAGGAAAGATTCCAAAGTAATTATACTTATCACAGCATTATTTGTAATAGAAAAACCAGAAATAACCTAAATGCCCAATACTGTAATAGTGAAGTCAATGTTAACCCATGTGTTGTAGACAATTAGAATATTTAATCACAGATGGTGAGATACAGTATAGGGGGAAAGCAGAAAGCATATATGCTTTGAATCCAATTCTTTTTTAAAGAAAATGTATATATGCTGAAAAAATACATTGGAAGGATATATATACTCCTAAAGGTGTCCATCTCTAGGTGGTGGGATTATGGGGGACTCTTTTCTTTTACTTCTCAGTATTTTCCAGATCTATAGAGAAAATGCTTATCTTCTTAGGAGACACTCTTCTTCCAATTTTTAAATTTTTTTTAATTTTGAGGGGAGAGGTAATTAGGTTTTTACTTACTTGTTTTAATGGCAGTACTGGGGATTGAACGCAGGACCTCGTGCATGCCAAGCACTCGCTCTACCACTGAGCTATATACCCTCCCCCCGCTTAGGGGACATTTTTAAGGGGAAAGGTTGTGGAGGATTTTGAGTGTAGGGGAGTGTTTCTGCTTTTCCATAGTCCAAATTGTCTTCAATGAGCATGTATTGCTATTACAACACAAAGGAGGTTATTTTCTAAAAACTGCTAAAAATAATAGCCTTCTACTTTCTAGTGAGGAAATAAGTTCTAGCAGGGCAAGAATGTCTGATCTACCTGTGCTTGACTTCAGAGCCAGTGCCTTTGACTTTGTAGGAGATGAATCTGCTTGGAGTCTGAAGAAGGCAGTTGTCTTGAGAGATGTGGTCAGGCAGACCATTATTAAACATTTTAAATGATGTACCAGTTGAGGGATCAAAGAACCACTTTGATAAGTCCAATCTATGTCTCCCAGTAAGCTTCCATATTTACACTAAATTGCATTTTCCCCCATCAACTGACTGCTGAATCAAGATGAATGGATCCCAGCTCCATCTCCAGAAAAAGCTGTTCAAGTCCATTTTGGCCTGAGTGTCTGTCAGGTGGCTCTCACCGAGGTTGCCTTATCAGTCATCAGGAAGGCCAAGGTGACATTCTGTCATCCACCAACCATCTCCAGATGGAGACCAATAAAGTTCATTGGGTGAAAAATGTAAGTGGGAGGTTGAAGGCATCTTACGTTTTTCTTCACCCTACTATGTTTAAATATATTGATATTGTGATCCTTATGTGATTTTTATTAATCTCTTGAAATTAATATCTGGGCTTCTAGGAAAAACGAGTCTTTAATCCAAAACATCAGTATCTCAAAAATCACAAATAGCATTGTTTTGACCATTTACCTTCTTGAAGCAGAGGCACAGTTATGAGTAGACTGTAGGTCTCATAACAACCTCTGCTTTGCTTTTTATTTTGTGCATGTTGCTCATAAGGCTGTCCCAAGGAGCTTGTCATTTGTTATTCAGCATGATTCTCTAAGCTTCCCAGTTTAGCCAAGTTCATTCTCCAAGGGAATGTTAACCAAAATCAGATCTGAGAGCTGGGAAACATCTAGAAGGGGGCTAGGCCATGAGCGATG